TCTTTGACAAATGACACGGCCAGAAAGTCCCAAAACTCAAAGCAAATCAATTGATATATGGTCTCATCAGTCGTGTCTTTTTCGATTTTGCCTAGAGTTCCAAAAGTAATAATACGCATTCAATCATAGACGTATTAAATATTACATAATAATTGAGAAGATTTAAGATTCAAGATGAAAATCTTAGATTCGATTCGAAATTTCGGAACTCCTGTCATGTCATGTTATATATTCAAACACGTGTTCGAGGTTTTTTTATAATTAGGGCTTATCTTGTTCATTGTCGTTCTCGTCAAGAGGAACATTAGTCAAATAATAATGACGCATGAAAACTAAGACATAAACCGAAGTGATGATTCCACTTAAGCCTACCCCTCCCGCCTCTCCGTCATTCTCTCTTTGCTCTCGGCAAGATTAATTAATTACTCTAGGCATGAGCTTTCATGATAATGGAAAGATGCTTCAATATGCTCTCTTAGGGTTTCACAATGACCACTTGACAGTACACTTCCTCACAATTTAAGCAGTGATTCAGGGACACTTTCATCTATAATGTTTGTTAGATTTGATGATAAAAGATGATGGAGCGCTTTTCCCAAACGCGAGTTTACCATCCTCGGCATGCTCGCGTGTCACAATGCTCTTCGAGTGATGAGTCTCAACTTTTCTCTCTAACCTTTATAATGATTGTTCTGAATCTAAAAAAGCATGCAAGCGAGATCGTGGGAGCATCTTCTTCAATAACTTGGTTCTCGTCAAATAATTATATCTATGTAAAAAGTTGTGTGATTATAGGACCGCCTAACTTTGCATAGGATCTCTATTAAAAAAATTATGTCATGTATACGATTTATATCAAAATTCACAATGCTCAAACAAAACCCCCCGTCCATGGCACTCCACTCTCCTCCTCCTGTTTGAATTAAACTAGGGAATTGCTCTGTGAAATCTAAGTGTTGACACTGAATGCAATCTACCTGACTTTTTTTCTTTTGGTCGAAACGAACCATTTTCATTTCAATAGCAAAACTAATAAAACAATGACAAGTAGCATCTAAACATAACAAATCCTGGGTTTTTGCAATCCACTCTGCACATTGATTTGATCTGGCTGACTTTTGCAATCTAGGTGGCTTTGAGAAGCATTGTTTTATCAATTTATCTGCCACTTGCAATGTCATATCTTGCTTTCCCCCTGATGAACATTAGAAATAGTGGTACTTCTCTCTTGAATTTAATCTAAAGAATCAACAAGTTCACAGAGAAGAACTTCCTCTTCCAGAAAAATAAAAAAGAGAGGAGAAATTCGCAGCAAAATAACACTGATCCCTCCTCTCGCAGTTTCCAAAAGCAATAGGCATTCAACAGGAGCAACTGAACAAAAAATTACTTTTTTTCTGGGAGAGCCCATCTTACACACGAAAGCCCACATAAAGAGGGGACAAATTATTATTATTATTATTATTATTTTCTAATTTACAATGTGTCTTTTTCTTTTCTTTTTCATTTTTGGGGCCTTGTCGTGCTGGGAAAGCAAATTGCGATGACGGAAGTGATGACGAATATTTCACAGACGAGTCTAGAAGTATATCAACGCTAGAACACCATAGACGACTCGTCGGTCATCGCATACGTCGTTTTTGGAAACGATGAGAAAAATCTCGAGCACATGCCCTATCTCTCTGAACCGTAAATTCCATGGAAAATCCCGCCCCGCCCCGCCCTCACAAAGAAATTATGAGCAATTGGCTTGAGAGATGGGTTGTAATGTGTGATATTATTGAAATTATGTATTAGGTGATGTAGTAAAGTTTCACTGAATTTTTTTTTAATATCCCCTTTATCGGATTGACCATTATAACTTCGCATATAAATCCCGATATATCTATAGAATAAGTCAAAACGATTAAAAGATGACATAGTATAAATACTCTAACACTTCTTCTCACAAATAGGATGGATTTCGGCCTAAGACTAGAGTGTGAAAATATATAGGGTCGACACCCTCTCTCGATTCTGGCGAGGATCGTCGGTCATCGCCACCGCCCCATCAGCGATGGGCTCATTCTCTCAAATAAGTACATGAAGTGAACATTATTTCAAATAATAGGGTTTTGAAGTGGCCATGTTAATCTCAAAAAAAGGGTTTGACCTCACCGGGTCAAGGGCATTTTCATCTTTTAATTTTTTTTTTGTTTTTTTTCCTTTTCTCCTTTCTTTGTTTTTTTTTATTTTTTATTTTTCTTCCTTTTATAGTTTTTTTCTTTCCATAAAAAACAAACTCAAAAAATCTTTATGTAAAAAAATGATAGCACTTCGGACCTTTATTTGAAATTTTTAGTTAAACTTCTTCCTAATATATACTTGCTACAAGATGATGTGTTAAATTTTGATTGGTTGGTAATAAAAGTAAGGGTTAATACCACGAAAAATCCCAAATTGGTACACATGTGACAATTTTACCCCTAACTAATATTTTGACCACTAAAAACCCCAAACTGATACATTTGTGACAAATTTACCATCCGTTGGTTTCCGTTAAATTGAATCAATACCACAAAAAATCACAAACTGATACACCTATGACAAACGAAGGGTAAAACATAAAACTAGCAATCAGTCAACTGCCGTGTATCATTCATTTAACAAAGCAATTTGACAGTAAAATTTAACGAAAACAAACTGATGGTAAAATTGTCACAGGTGTATCAGTTTGGGGTTTCTTGTGGTCAAAAAATTAATTTGAGGTAAAATTATTAGAGATGTAACAGTTTAGGATTTTTCGTGATATTAACCCTAAAAGTAACACATATGTGAAACTTGTTGAAATTATCGATTAAAAAATTTAACCCGTCATTTACCGTACAATGAACATGCCTATAAGTACCCACGCTCTCCCCAGCCATTTCTTGCTAAGCACTGTGCGGCGTCTGCCTTATTAACCAGAGGCGCCTGTGCATCGGTGTGATTTGCGCTGCTGCTTCTCGAGATTTAGCAAATGGCGGACGAGGTGATCCTGCTGGACTTCTGGCCGAGTTTGTTCGGGATGAGGTGCAGGATCGCGCTGGCGGAGAAAGGGGTGAAGTACGAGTACAAGGAGGAGGACCTGAGGAACAAGAGCGACCTCCTCCTCCGGATGAACCCCATCCACAAGAAGATCCCCGTCCTCGTCCACAACGGCAAGCCCGTCTGCGAGTCCCTCATCATCCTCCACTACATCGACGAGGCCTGGTCCGACAAGTGCCCCCTGCTGCCCTCCGACCCCTACCAGAGGGCTCAGGCCAGGTTCTGGGCCGATTATATCGACAAGAAGGTAAAATTCTCGCAAAGCTGAGATTTTTATGGTCGTAGCTGTACCTATTTGTTTCGAGTCATGCTATATCGGACTAGCTGGGTCATTTCGGATGCTGGGTGGACAGTAGGGATCGAACCCGCTTGCTGGGTAATCGTGGGTGTGAATGATTTCACCCCTATACAGACTGGCAGTCGCCTATCTCGAGCTTGTTAGTATTGCTGAGTGCGCCGTCCTCTCCATAGTCTTAAATCCGGATGTTTCTTGGCGATGTGAGACCTCGTGGTGACTCTGAAAGTCGGGAGCGCTGCATGCTTGGTTAAACCCTCTCTGCCTTCAGCGGTGGGGCAAAAATATGGAGGGGAGGGGGGCGTTTGAGCTTATACGATCAGATTGTTCTTTATATGTATCTACTGGGTATGGATGCGGTTTATTCAATTGATTTCTTTGTCACGGTGAAGTGAGTTTTCGGGAAGAAGTTTTCCAGCAAATTTAATCGTATGTTCTGGGAAAGAATGCACGAAAATTGGTTGCCTAGTCTGTTTATGATGAGTGAAATTGAACATCGAGTGATTCTAATGGTCTTATAAAAATGCTCGCAGTTCTATGACCTGGGGAAGAAGTTGTGGACCACAAAAGGAGAGGAACAGGAGGCGGCCAAGAAGGAGCTGATTGACAGCCTGAAGCTACTGGAAGGTGAGCTCGGCGACAAGCCATTCTACGGGGGAGAGAAGTTAGGATTCCTGGATATAGCGTTCGTCCCCTTCTACACCTGGTTCTATGCGTACGAGACGTGCGGAAACTTCAGCATCGAGGCGGAGTGCCCCAAACTCATAGCGTGGACCAAGAGGTGCCTGGAGATAGAGAACGTGTCCAAGTCTCTCATCGAACCTCAGAAGGTGTACGACTTAGTCTTGCGGCTCAAGAAATCCCTAGGCATTGAGTAAAGATCTGGATGACTCGTTGTGGGTACTTCTTATCTTTATCTGTAGTCTTAATGTTATAGTTGCTGTTTAGGTCTTTCTCTTGTTGTTGAATTTCTGGTGTTGGGAAAGGGGACACTTTGTTGTGTCTTCCTTCGAAACTTATGTTGGTGATCATGATGGGCAACAGAGAGTTGCTCATTCTGAGGCAGTGTTTGGTGTGCAATTAAAGATTAGCTACTTGGATTATGAGTTAGCTCGAAGCGTTTCTTTTATGATCTAGTCCTTTGAGTTTCAGTTGTAGTTAAAACGTGGATAAGTACTGGGTGGACTTGTCAAAGCTGAAAAGATATGCAAATGTGAAGCCTAATTTGTACCTACACCAGCGGTGATTATCGTGTTGGAGTGAATCCTTATGTATGCGGGAGCAATTATATTGATCAATCTCAATTTTGTGGGGGGTCCTAAGGCTTTCTCTTTTAGAATTGATTGCAATTGCTCCTGGCGAAAAACATTTCTTCAGGACTACTCGATTCTTGCTCTACCATGGGCGGCCTTTATCGGCGCCTCTACGAGGGCAGGAGTTGAGCATTGTCGTTGTATTTCCCGTTAGAGAAGAAAACAAGGGCCAAGGATGGGACAAGCCAATCGGTTTGGCTAGGCCATGTAAAGCAAGTGTTTTTTATGCCTCAACAACTTCGTCCACAACAAACAGTGAGTTATAGTACATTCTATATTTGGAAAACTTACGACACATCAAATATTGAAACACAGACCAACATCCACTAAACGACTTTAGATCCTTTTGCTTCTAATCGACCCCGAACCTCTTCTTGAGCTCCAACATGAATCCGTGAACTTTTTTTGTGGTCGGCCAGAGACTTTGAAACACTGTCTTTCTGGGAACACCTCTTGGCCCACGCAATGAGATTGGGGCACTGTGTCTCGATGCTCAAACCGCCGCTCTTCTGATAGCCATAAAACCAGCTATAGAAGGGGACAAGAGCGATATCGACAAGCCCTGATGTTTCCCCTCCGAAGACGGGCTTGTCGCCGAGCTCTCGTTCCCACACCTTGAGGCAATGTACGAGCTCCCTCTTGGATGCCTCTTGGTCTTCTCTGTTGGTCAAAATTATTCGTCTCCCAATATCATAGATCTGCACATTACAACGACATGAGTGAAGCATGTAAAGTTTTAATGAAAATGACAAAGTCACAAGAGAAGGAGATTTTTTGGTGAATTCGAAGTAAAGCTCGTACTTCCATAAACAGGAATATCTTTACGGACTTGGACTTTGGACCTGACTTCGTTTTCATTCTTCATCTGTCTTATTTATTTGTGCTCGATGCTTCTTCGTACCCTTTGGAGTTGGTAAAGACGGAGGTGATTGATTTTCGTGTACTCCAGTGAAATGACAGTCAAGAAACACGAGTTTTCTAGTCGTTTTCGGACGGTGATGTTAAGACCATTATCAACCACGACCTCACTAACACAGCCATAAAATTCAGCCCGCGGAATAAGAGAAGTCCAGTGCTATGAAAGTTACGTCCGTCCGTTCTTTCTTTAAAAATCTGGTACGTAAAATGGCCACACAACCTTGGATGATTAAACTCCTGGTGACACCTAAATTTTAGCGACCCAGTTAATCGTTCGTTGCATAAAAATTAGGGATCGATTCCAATCCCTAGAAAAAAATTAGTTAAATTGCATATAGATTAGGAGTATTTGAATTAGTATTTAGGCTCATATAGCTACATTTGCATTGGACCGGTGGGGTATGAACTTAAGTGAATGGTTTTGAGCTTAATTGATTGGACTCAGCCCAAAAGATTAAATGTTTGTCCAAGCCTATTGAATACATATATGGCCGAAATTTGCATTATAGAGCAAGTTGGAATAATTGAATTATCGAATTATTAAATAATATACTTGAAAGATAATTCATATTATTCTGTGAATATTCAGCTAGAGGAAATAATCAGAAAATTGCCTAAGTTGAGTATCAGAATTAGGAAATAATATATCTTGGCTTTTGCAAGATAACCTTAGCTAACTCTTATAAATAGATGTGTTAAGGTTCACAATTGAGGAGGTCACAAAATTGAAATGCACGGCCACAATTTAGAGGGGGCTTCACAGAATACAAAAAGAAAAAATTCGTGGGAGGCCACACAGCTTACGCGACCATTCAAAGAAACACCAAAAAGAAGGGGGAGGTTCAGTACGTGTTCTGCAGAAAGAGAACACCTAGTAGAGTTCTTGGATTCTTCCTGTAATTGCTGCCCGCGCGACTACAAAAGGAACGAGCTTTCTTCGCCTTGGAGGCTGTCACCTCCATCAGCACCGAAGTTACGTCTCTAAGTCATCACTGACTTAGCTGTCACGGAGCCTCCTCACCGATCCAGATCAGCCGCATATGACACACTCAACGGCTCGGTGTAACATCGTCGCTGGGCCGATACTTCCGCTGCTCCTGCACCAATCCGAGCTACTTCCTGGTCGAAGTGAGCCCTGCACCGATCGACCCCGTTGCTGTTTTCTCTGACCTAATGATGGTGTTCCCCTCTGGCCGCGACCCAAGACTTCACCGGTGATCTGCTCTCAACCCGAGCCATACCAGCAGTAGGGGCAGAGCCTTGCTCTTCTATCTTTTGCTGGATTTGTGAAGCTGGTCAGTGATCATCGAGCACCACTGCGAACACCACTGTCGGCTACAGCAATCCGGGCCATCCCGTCAAGTTGGAATTTGGAAACGCTATCCAAGTGATATTGCGAATTAGGTAAGAATCTTCATTAATTCGATTTTCGTATATTTTGTTGCCTAATTTGTGAAGTTGCAGTATTGTTTGAATCTTCGAATATACTCATATCCATGAAATCCTCAGGTAGATTTAAATTAGGAATTATTTCCTAATTTCATAATGTGCTATGGTCGTCAATCCGATCTCCCACCCGAGATATGATTCGCGATTCTTGGACAATCCGATCCTCGTGCCCGGGATACGATTTGTCAATCTATTTCCAAAACTAGATGGATATTGATAATATCTTGTGTGATTCGATGCCGTGTTTGATGTGGATATGATTTCTTTCTATCTTTGTTTGATTTGAATTGATTGTCTTTCCATATAAAAAAAAGGAAAAGATCACCAAAAACCCCAAACTATGTCACATGTGACATATTTACCCTGAAGTTTTTTTGTGACATCAAAAACCCCAAACTATGCTGTTTGTGACACATTTACCCCATTGTACTTTAGTCCATGGGCATTTTCGTTTTTTTTGCTTTTTCTTTTTTTTTTCCTTTTCGGTGAGGGCGGCCCTCGCTGGCGTCGGGCGAGGGCTGCCCTCGCCGGATCCGGCGAGGGCAACCTCGCCGGCGTCAGCGAGGTTGCCCTCGCCGGCGTCGGGCGAGGCCGCCCTCGTCGGCGTCGGCGAGGGCCGCCCTCGTCGGCGTCGGGCGAGGGCCGCCTCGCCGGGCGAGCGAGGGCGACCCTCGCCGAGTCGGGCGAGGCCACCCCGACTCGCTTAGGCGAGGCGACCCTTGCCCGACTCGGGCGAGGCAACCCTCGCCCGACGCTGGTGAGGCCCGCTCTCTCCTGAGTCTGGCAAGGGTCGCCTCGCCTGGGCGAGCGAGGGCGGCCTTCGCCTGAGTCGAGAGAGGGCCGCCCTGACTCGCCCAGGCGAGGCGCTTGCCTAACTCAGGCGAGGGCAACCCTCGCCCGACGCTGGCGAGGGCCGCCCTCTCCTGAGTCTGGCAAGGGTCGCCTCGCCTGGGCGAGTGAGGGCGGCCCTCGCCGGAATGGAAAAAAGAGAGCAAAAAAGACAAAAATGCCCATGGATTAAAGTACATTGGGGTAAATGTGTCACAAATAGCATAGTTTTGGGTTTTTGGTGTCACAAAACAAAGTTCAGGGTAAATGTGTCACAGGTAGCATAGTTTGGGGTTTTTGGTGGTTTTTTCTCTATAAAAAAATACAAAAAGATTAGATAGGATCAAAGTAAGTTTTTTTTAATAGATTGAATGCTTTTGGGTTTATCTAGTTAGGATAACATTCCAATTTAAATTAGGATTTGACCTAGTTTAATTCCTAAAATGAATTGGATAATATCTTGCACTAGATAATAAATTTTCATTATTTTCTAATTCCGAATTTCATGAAAAAAATACCAAAAATAAACATGTGCTTGTCATGCTAGAATAATTGCGTATTAATTTTGGCCCGTCATTAGAAACTGCATGTTCAGGTCATTTAATTAGGAATTGCATTACATGCATTGCATATACGTTAGTTTTCACTTAAATAAGAGAAAACCCTAAAAAAAGATTTGAGTGAAATCATATTTGGGTTGTCAATGTGAGTTTCTAACTAATATCGCAGATGCTTTCATTGCTCTGAGGTAAGTCCCTATCTTGCAAGTGTTATATTATTGGTTGCGCACCCGCGTGATCACCTCACATGTTAGAAGTAATTTAAAATCAATCCAAGCTGCCTGCGAATATTTTTTTGAAATAAAAGAGAAAAGGTACCGAAAGGGCATTAGAGAAATCTAGTATAACCAAGTCCCCGAATCCATATTCTCTGGTTCGTAGGAATAAAGTAATTCTCCCGATACTTTATTTGAGTTTCTAATCGACCCACCAAAAAATAGATTAGTGACGACTCCTGATTGAAATGATTTGCATGTTAAGAACTTAAATCTTAAGTCGCGAATTGGTAAGGGCTTAGGAGAGCCCGAGTTAGGCATAGGTTTAATAATCCATTAACCGAACTCTTAGGTGGTGCACCCGCGGGAGGTTTAGGTCGCGACAACTCCATTCCAAATGTCACGGCTTTTGGTTATGATAACTATCAGTTAAGTATAGTAAAAACGTAAATAAAGAGGGCGCACTAAAGTTACACACTTGAGCGTTGATAATTAAGCATCGTTTGATGCAAATATGTGGGCCATATATACCTTCTTGACAACGTAGTCAGCCCAGAACATGCCTTGGGCGCTACGATAGTGATCAGATGGCAAAATAGGATTTGTAACGGTGCTTCTTGACGAAAACGTAATGGAAGGTAAATGTATCACACAGATATAAGTTAGGGGGATTTTGTAAAATACAAGAAAAATGTTTAAGGTAAATGTGTCACAGTAAGCATAGTTTGAGATTTTTTGTGATTTTTTCCTAAGAAGAAAAAAATAATGCTAGATGTACTAAAACTTCTTACTAATATATATTTGCTACATGTGTTAAATTTGGATTGGTTAATAAGGATATCACTAATACATAGGTGAAACTTGTGGAAATTATCGAGTAAAACTTAATACATCATTTACCGAACAGGCGAACATTATCTTAATAAGAAGGGAAAAACTTATGAAAAATTTTAAATTATGCTCGTCATGACATATTTACTCCGAACTTTTTTTTTTTTTACACAAACCAACATCCGCTAAATGACCTGGGTCCTTTTGCTTCTAATCGACCCCGAACCTCTTCTTGAGCTCCAACATGAATCCGTGAACTCTTTCATGGTTGGCCAGAGACTTAGAAACACTGTCTTTCTAGGAATACCTCTTGGCCCATGCAACGAGCTCGGGGCACTGTGTCTCGATGCCGAAACCGCTGCACTTCTCGTAGCCATAGAACCAGCTATAGAAGGGGACGAGAGCGATATCGACAAGCCCCAATGTTTCCCCTCAGAAGAAGGGCTTGTCATCGAGCTCTCGTTCCAACACATTGAGGCAATCTATGAGCTCCCTCTTGGCTGCCTCTTGTTCTTCTCCTTTGGTGAAAATGATTCAGTCTCCCAATCTCATAGATCTGCACATTACATTATAAATGAGCGAAGAACGTACAGTTTTACTGAAACTGACCAAGTCATAAGATAAGGAGATTTTTGACAAGTTCGAAGTAAAGCTTGTACTTCCACAAACAAGAGGGAAAATGACACAAATAGTCCATGAACTTTGGCTTAATGTACAATGTGGTCCGTGAACTTTTAATTTGTTCAATGTGATCCCTGAACTTTTAATTTGTTCAATATAGTCCCTGAACTTTTTGTACATATTAAATTTAATCCCTGAATTATATGAAAATATTCAATGTTGTCTCTGATCTTAAATAAATGGAAGGGCTACATTGAACATTGTCATATATTTCAGAGACCACATTGAATAAATTAAAAATTCAGTGATCATATTGCATATTGGGCCAAAATTTAGGGACCATTCGTATCATTATCCTTAAACAAGAATATCTCCAGGGACTCAGACTCGGACTTGACTTTGTTGTCATTCATTATCTGTCTTATTCATTTGTGCTCGATGCTTCTTGGTACGCTTAGGAGTTGGTAACGATGGCGGCGATTGATTTTGTGGACTCCAATGAAATGACAAAGTCAAAAAAGAAGAAAGAAAACGAGTTTTCTAGTCGTTTTCATTCCGGCGATGTTAAGACCATTATCAACCACCACTACAAAAAAACAAGGAATTAGTCACGAAAAATTAGCGACGAAAAATTTTTCGTCGCTAATTTGCGATGAAAAAAAAATTCATCTCTAATTTGCGACGAAAAAAAAATTCGTCGCTAATTTGCGACGGATAATTTTCTGTGGCTAATTTGCGACGAATGAAGGTGCATACGAAGTTTAATTTGGTTGAAATAAATCGCAAGAAAAGGTATATGAAATATGAACCATTTGTCTTGGCACAACAAGCAATTCAAGTATATTATGCATCACATCCTAGTTTGAAACGTGACAAAGCTGATTGGTGGGCTGTATGTAAAACCAAAGCACGAAGAAAAATCGAGGAACATTGGAAGGATACAGCATATCAACAAGAGGGAGTTTGTAACACGGTTGAAACTGAGGAATATAACATTCCAACTTTATGAGATCCATGTGGAGCAATGATAGATGTGGATCCAACTGAAATTCGCGAATCAAATTTAGAAGGTGTTGCAGAATCTGATTTTGAGACAGAGGATGAAGATGATGCTCATGAAGAAGTTGAAGATCAAGACGAAGACGAAGGTGAAGACGAAGACGAAGATAAAGATGAAGATGAAGATTATGATTATGATTATGATTTTTGAGACTTTTTACTAATTATGTGTAATTATTATTATTATTATTATTATTATTATTGAGACATGTGTTTATTGTTGTTGTCATAATAATTATTATTATTGTTGTTGTTGATTATTATTATTGTTATTATTGTTAATGTAATAGGTCGTCGAAAAATTCGTTGCTAAATGGCGACAAATCAAATACTATTCGTGCGATGACATTTGCGATATTTTATTTTCCATTGGATTTGGATCGTCACTAATTGACAAAATTAGCAACAACCTTTGCGACATTTTTATTTGTTGAATTGTTAAAAGGTCGTCACTAATTGGCGACAAACTGAATTCGTCGAAATTTTTTTTATTTGATGAATTGTTAATATGAAAGGTCGTCGCCGTCGCTAATTCCGTCGCAAATTAGTGACGGATTTGAATCTGTGGCTAATTAGCGACGGAATTAGCGACAAAAATAAACTCTTGCGGCATTTTCCCGACTATTTTTATTTTCATCGCTAAATCCGTGGCTAATTAGCCACAGATTTAGCGACGAAAATAAACTCTTGCTTTACTTTCCCGACTATTTTTATTTTCGTCGCTAAATCCGTGGCTATTTAGCCACGGATTTAGCGACGAAAATAAACTCTTGCGGCATTTTCCCAACTATTTTTATTTTCGTCGCTAAATCCGTGGCTAAATAGCCACGGATTTAGCGATGAAAATAAACTCTCGCTTCACTTTGCTGACAATTTTTATTTTCGTCGCTAAATCCGTAGCTAAATTGTTTATGTAAAATGACGTCGCTAAATCCGTCGCTAATTAGCGACGAATTACTATCGTCGCAAAATTTTTTTATTTTCTAATTTGTTTATGTAAACTGTCGTCGCTAATTAATGACGAAAAATAATCCGTCGCTAATTTCGTTGTAAAATTCGTCGCTAATTTCGTCGTAAAATTACATTACAAAAAGTAAATCGAGCCACGAAAAATTAGCGATGAACGTTTTTGTCCGTGTTCCCCGCCCTCACTTCCAATTTGCCAGCCCTCATCCCCCATTCTCTCTCTCTCTCTCTCTCTCTCTCTCTGCTGATTCCTCAGATCCCCCCTCCCCCCGCGCTCCCTGTTTTCCCTGCCTCTCCCTCTTTCGTTTCTCTCGATCAGATCTGTTTCCGCTTCTCCTTCTCCTTCTCCTTCTTCCCCCTCCCCCACACCCCCAAACCTCTCGCGCTCGCTAGGGTTTTCGGTACCCCCCCCGCGCTTCCTCCCGCGACTCCTCCTCGCCCATGGCCTCCGGAGCCCTAGAGGCCGCGGAGCCCGAAGGGGCGGCGGCTCCTCCCCTCGTCGAGGGCAAGGAGGAGCTCCCCGAGAAATTAGAGGTGGAGGAAATTGAGCCGTGGTTTCGATTTTGGTCGAGCGAGATTAGCAAGGATCAGGTAGCCCGGGCCTCTCCCTCTCCCTCTCTTGTGGTCTGTAGTTTGCTTGAATTTTTTGTGAGGAAAAAATCGTAGATTTTATGTCGCGAGGGCTTGTGATGCTTGTTTCATGGAATTGATGTTCGATGTTATTCGTTTTCTCGCTCGTGTGCTGTTGGGTTTGTGGTGGTCTGAATTCGCTCACTGTTTTCTGGTTGGGTTTTTGGTCATGACGTCTTAGGGTAATTGGGGCGTAATCGTTGAGGCGGCTCGTGGTTTTGGGGGGTTTTTTTTAGTTGAGTAGTTGCTGACTTTGTTGGGAAAAACGTAGTTGTAGGATAGTTCGTGTTTGTGCTATTCTGGGTTCTGGTTTGGATTTGTTCTGCTGTTATGCGCTCATTTAGGTGGCACTGGCACTGCTCTTGTCTGTGTGTGTGTGTGTGTGTGTGTGTGTGTGTGTGTGTGTGTGTCTGTCTTTTGCAATCTGGGATACTAGCAGACTTATTTTTGCTCAGCATCGCCAGTCACTTCCTTTGGGTGTGTGAATTATGTCCAGTGGTGACAATATGTCCCTTAGTTTGATGGTTACTACGGACTGTGACTTAGCCATCTTAATTGTTAAAAGTTTTCTCTCGACTTGCTGGTGGGTTTGGGGGGACTGAGAATATCAAATTGCTCTTTTGGAGGCGAGCTGTAGAGCCGAGAGGTTATTCAAATTAGAGTAACATTAAATTTGTAAAGATGATCTACTAAATTGATTTACTAAGTTATGTTATAGACTATAGCTGAGCTTGCGAACAAGGAGGCCATATTCAACATTAAGTAGAACTCTGCTGCATCAGTCAGTGAACTAATTTAGTGGACTACTAGTCTTTAGATACCTGGCATTATTCTCTAAATTATCTTAAGAGCTTCTCTATTGGGAGTGGTGTGTGGATGGTTTTGGTTGAAGGTTGTGGCTTTGGGGATTCAATCGGAGAGTTGTAACTCAAGATATTTTAGATATTTTCACCATTGGTTGATGACCATAGCCTATTGCATTCGTGTATGATTGGTTTCTTATGTCTTTTTTTTGCTAGACTATAATTGGTTATAGGTTTCCAGTTGTATCCAATTGTTAGCAAGGCTGCTTTATACTTGTGATGTGTTCTTATAAAATCAGAGTTTTGAGGCTTTAAATCAGTGTGCGGTTGCAGTTGTTGTGGATCCCATTTAGAGTGTCAAAGGGAAGGTGGTGATTGATGCCTTCCGTTTGATCAACCCACAAACCATGATGCTTGGCCAAGAACCCAGGCAGACAACCTCTAACCTTGGACATCTCAACAAACTGTCCATCCAAGTGAGTGCTGACCAGATAATGCTCTCTTTGAATATTGAGTTTTGATCTTATCTCGTGGGGTTGACTTCATATTTTTAGGCATTGATCCATGGGCTGAACAGACACTATTACTCAATTGCCATCAATTACAGAAAGAATGAACTGGAGGAAAAAATGCTACTTAATCTTCACAAGAAGAAATGGATAGATGGCTTGACGCTTAGCCGTTTTGACACACATTCTAAAACCAATGAACAGACTGTTCAGGTAAGTCAAGGTCTTAATCTGTCGCAGCTAGATTAGAGAATTGGTTGCACCAGTCACTTAAAGGTGGATTCTGGACAATGCAAGACAAGGCCCTCTGCTCAAGCATATTTTCATCTAGTGTCCATGTTTTCCTAATTAATTAAGATCAATTAGCTTGCGATGCATATAGACTTTCATTGAACTGGATGTTGAGAAGCTGTCGTTTCTTGCAAAACGAATGATTGTTTTCAAATTCAGATCCTTGTTTTAGTTGGATTTTTATTTTGGGTGTCCAAGGCTCGGAGGAGAAAAATTTAGGTTTTATCATCCAAAAGCTAAGGACATGTGCTTTATGCTTTAGGTGTAGTGTTGTTCATTCTTAGGTTCTCTCTTGTACAAGTTACAAATGTACTACGTCTTTTTTATCACACCACTGACCTTTCTGATTTCCAGTTTCACTCAAAGAGTGTTGCGACTTGTCATGGGAGACAGATTTTCGAGAATTTTAGGGGAATAACAGAAGATTATTGGTTGAGATCAAGCTCCTCTTTCTTCAGAAGGAGATATGCTCATTTTACTGGTAAGGGCAACTTATTTCGAGCAACTGTACATATTTTGCTTTTTCCTTGGGTTGTTGGGGGAAGGTTTGTCTAAGACTCCCTTTTTTACAACTTATTATGTAATATGTTGCCATTGTTCATAAGAAAGATTTAAGTTTTTTGTGGCCTTTGTTTTTGAGTGTTATTAGTGACAACTTGTTATTATCATTTTGGTTGACTGTATCTATTTCTGAGCAGTAAACTTTTGTTAGCGCGAATCCAGGTGCCCCACGGTAATCATATATCAGGACAAGTTCGTTTAACAAATACTCCCTCTGTGGAGATTAATGGCGATCACTTGCTTCAAGAGGTTACTAGAAGCAGAAGACCAGTGTATGATTTGGACGAGAGGAACTGTCTTGGTATGTCAAATCTAGGGACTTCACCTGCAACCATCGACATGAAGCTACTTAAGTTGACATGGAGAAGGTTAGAAGGTTTGGCTGCTAGACTTGGTGGAGCCAAGAACATATTCTGTGAACTTTTTTCTGATAACAAGGCTGAGAACACCTTTTGGTTGGATAGTTCCTCAATTGAGAAGGTCTGTCTTGAAGAGGAAGAATGCACCTTTCAGTTTGGTTCTTTATTTATGTCATTTTTGTGGAAAATGTAGATGAATGTATTTCATTTTCATATTATTATAATATTTTGATGTTATTAAGTGCTTAATCAATGTTAAATATTAATTCCAAAAATTAATTTTGCTTTTAATTAGGTTTAAAATCGAAAAATAAAATAAATGATTTTATTGTACGATCATAAATTACAAAAGTTTGTTGCAAAAATAAAATTTCGTCGCTAATTTCGTCCCTAAACGATATTCGTCGCAGAGTTCATCACTGAAGAATTAATAAAAAAATCGTCGCTAAATTCGTTCATGAATAATGTTAATGGCAAAAGTAAAAAAAATTTGTGACAAATTAGCGACGAATTTTGCCACGAATAAGTTTGTCGCAAATTACTATCCAAACAAAAAATTTCGTGGCAAATTAGCGACGAATTTTGCCACGAATAATTAGCGACAAATTTTGTGACGAATAATTAGCGACGAATAAAGTTCGTGGTAAATTAGTAACGAATTTTGCGACGAATATAGTTTGTGGCAAATTAGCGACGAATTTTGCCACGAATAATTAGCGACGAATTTTTTTTCGTCGCAAAAATTTGCGACGGCGTATTAGCGACGCATTTTTTTCCGTCGCTAATTTCGTCCAAATTCATTTAGTGACGAATTTTGCCAAATTTTTTGTGGCAAAATTCGTCGCTAAGTCCTAATTTTTTTGTAGTGAAGCTAAAGTAGGACTCGCAAGGCATAATTTGGTCAACTCAAGGTAGCAAGGGTTATCTACAGTAAAAAATGAAGTGGACAAAATGTGAGCCTAATTTGATCTCCGGACTTATTTTCTAAAATCTATGTTCAATCCTTGCAAATATTGAAATATTTTTCTCGAGAAATTCTGTCTCAAGCTCAAAATCTTCTTGCTTTTCAAAATGAAATTCAAAAGTTTCAGCGTATTTACCAATTTGTTGGCTACCTCTATGTGAGGCTCACAAGTAGGGAAAAAGACATCACGAGTGCCACAATTTTCGTACGACGCATACTTAAGTGCATAACTTCTAAAACACGTTCACTTGAGTGTCAAGACTATCAATCAATCACTTGAGTTCCAAAACATTTTATCAATCAATCAACTTTCGTACGATGCAGACTTGAACTTGATACAAGATATACCATCATAAAATCTATTTGCAAAATATCTTTTATCTCTTTATTCATCTAAATATCTGTCTGATAGAAGCATTTGCTTCTGCCATTATTAAACTGTCCTTGCATCTATTAAAGTTCAACTTGTAGTATCCCGTGAATATTAATCGAAGTTTTTAAATCAACCCATTTATCCCCATAGGTTGCATTACAAGACTCAACAGATTTGGTAAACAAAATAATTGCATGTGGTACAATTCATGAAGGCATTACATAGTTAATTCCATTGCTTTCAGGAAAACAATTCAGGAAGCAATTCGGTAAGGAATTATTAAGTTTATCGATGACAAAGGACAAGGAAAAATGGAAGTCAACGATCATCCTTTTCCTCGAATGGTCGGTATAGCATCGGCTAGATTTGAGGACAAATGGACCAAGAACAACTTTTAAAAACGATGTCGATAGGATATCGAAGCATGTACCTATTTTAAGGTAGAGGGAATGATGAAAGTGAAATGGCAGTTGGCGAAGCACATACGACCAAGTTAGTTTCTCCAAGAAAGGCCCGATGAGAAAGAAGTTCCCTCGAGCAGCAATATGAAAAGAGTAACCCTAATGTTAGAGCGTCCTAACACCCTCTCACCCACTTAGATTTTATTTGAAATTTCTCCAAACCAAGACCAAAATCACTTTCTTTTCCCTTCAATTTTTCTCAAATCCAAACTATTTCCCCCAAATCCATTCATTTTCGCCCTCAAATTCTTAAACTCTCTTAAGTTTTCACCAAAAAACACCCAAGATCCACCCTTTCCTCCGAAAATGCCGATCGAACACATAGCAAGGAAGCCAGAAATCGGTGTTTCATCTCACCGGAGAGAACAACAACGCAAAGAAGAGGTCGAATCGACTCCTCCACAAGTTGGATTCAATAAAGAGTATTTTCGCAATCCAGCTTATTTTGATAGGTATCAAACTTTTGCTAGTAGAAGTGCATTGGAAGGGCCGAAAATAGACTCTGTGTTTTTCACACGGGACTTGGTGTATGTCAGCCCGTGATGGGCGGCCCAACCCAATCTAAAAAGTCTAGAAATAGCAAACCTTTTGACATGATCTCTTGAGACTAGGGCCCATTTGTTTATGTCTTTTCAAAAGCCGAAAACAAAAATCTTTTTACTTTTCCATCAAAATTTACGATATTATTCATATTTAAAAACTTATGGAAAAAATAAAACGTAAATGTACGTGTCAATATTTGTATATTGTGAGATTTTAGGTGTTTCAGGTCAAGAAAGAGTCAAAGTGCGTCAGCCGCAAGATTTAGATTAAACAACGAGCGAAGAACGGAACATATCCAATTACAGATGTTTCAGAGGCAAAGCTTATATTTGTCTGCTGAAGATGTGAACCGAATGATCATCTTTCTTATGCATCAGTTACCCGCTATCGGCATAATTTTCCATATCAAGCAGGAACTTCGAATGTTGTTTCCCAAGAAATGGCTTTTGCGTATGAACATGATGTTCGAATCGCTAGTCGTTGTAGCGCGACCTCAAGGGTCACCACACTCTTGGAATTCCATTGTTGTATCTGTTTTTATTATTTATGTAATTCTCTTTTCTACCGAAATTAATAATGAACTATCCAATGGCTCACTTACTTTAGGTCCCTAAACTTCATGTGATTAAATTTTGTGGTACAAGCATAATAAATTCACTAACCCCAAGGGATCAACATGTAGTTAAAGATCCGACTTTGTGTGTGTGAGCATGTTCGTTTCCCTGTACCATGAAAATTGATAATTTCATTTCTAGGCCACTCACCTGGACTCAGACTCATGTCTTACCTAGTTCACGAGGTTAGTGGAATATTTTATGGATTCGGGATTTTACCTCACTAAAGTAGACTTCCTCATTGTAAAAGAAATGAAATTTTGAATAAGCTAACCTGAATGGTATTGAGTACCTTGCGGACCTTATGCACGGAATGTGGCTAGAGCCAAAATCCGAATATCAACTAGCCCAGACATGAAATTGTTCCCCGATTTATTTCATTTTCTAATAATTTTATGGTATGAGGTTAGAGACCTGGCTATCTTAAAACCTACATAATATTTTGCAAATATCATGAACCGGTTAAGTCCAGGCTTGTGAGTGTGGCCCTAACTCAGTACAGTTTGCATGCAGATGATTTTTTCCTTACTTTCTCTCACTGAGTAAGGAACTTTCTTGCATCTTACTTCCTCTTTGCTCCTTTTCTGGGCAGGGCATGATACAAAAAGGCAATTGAAAGGCGTTAGTTAACTTCCAACTTATCCAGCAGCCAAAAGACATTGTTCTTCAGCAGCATAGAGTTCGATTCCTTCATTTACTTAAAATCTTCCTTTTTCTAGCTAAGATATCTGAGGAATGATTCACTTCCCTGAAAATGTGGGTTAATGGTCTGGGTGAACCGTCCCAGGAGAGTCCTAGAAGAAGAGGAGGAATCAGTGAGAAGTACACCAAACCTTATCAGCGCCTTTATAGCCTCTATGGTGAAAGGACAATCCCTGGGTGTTAAAATCGTTTCTGACCATAAACTCGGATTGGACCGGAGCGGGTAAACCTAACATCCAATTTAATGTCCCAAATGGCTGGCGAGATTTTGGGCGAGGCCAAATATGGAAAGCCAAATCCTGAGATCACCTGTCCAAGTGTTGACGGGCTAACAGGACTACGTTTCTTATTTTAATGTGCCGGTACCCGCACAATCAAACCTCCCTAATTAGAGAGAAAGCTTTTATTCCCTCTCCCCAGAGAATACCCCGGAATTTTAACGTACCTGGGTGTTAAAATCGTTTCTGACCATAAACTTGGATTGGACCGGAGTGGGTAAACCTAACACCCAATTTAATGTTCCAAATGGCTAGCGAGACTAGCTACGGGCGAGGCCAAACATGGAAAGCCAACTCCTGAGAACGCCTGTCCAAGTGTTGACGGGCTAACAGAACTACGTTTCTTATTTTAATGTGCCGGTGCCCACACGATCAAACCTCCCCAATTATAGAGAAAGTTTTTCTTCCCTCTCCCCAGAGAATACTCCTGAATTTTAACATCCCAAAGTTCAAACGAAGCCTTTTAAAGACTTGTTCATATTAGAAACCAAACATCCCATTTAATGTCCCAAATGGGTGGCGAGATTATGGGCAAGGCCGAACATGGAAAGCCAAATCCTAAGAACATCTTCTTGGACACCTTAGTGGTGACATGACAATCAGTAATATATTCTTGAAGATAGGAAGTTGTGTAGTCATAAGATCTCCTAACTTTACAATAAGCCCTCCATTAGAATTATGTCGCGGGTACAACATATGCAGCAGAATTCAAAATGCTCGATCAAAACCCAGAGATCTACGGCCCTTCTTTCCAACTCTTCCTCCTGTTAAATTAAACTTGGGAATTGCTGCGTGAAATTAAATTCACCGGTCAATTGCGTGTCTCCTCTTTCATGGCGAAGGTCTCCCCACCATATGATCTCAACCGAAGTTGTCACCGGTCATGGAAATGGAATTATTTGCATTTATTTGCTGAGTCGCCATAAGATTATTTTCACATTTTTGGGGGTTTATGTTTTCTGAGTTTAATTTAATTTGTATTTGGACAAAAAGAAGAAGAAGAATGTCGGTGGACCGGTAATAGAAAGTCCTTCGTCCAAGTTAAATATTAGTATATTCTGGGAACATCAGTCGTCTGCTGTTGTGATTCCCACAGTTTTAAGACACGCAGTTCGTGCAATCTTAATGAATATATTGCATTTTCCCACCTAATTAATAATTTAGGGATAGGCGCATTGAAAGTCCTAAAATTTGTCACAAACGTGCAATTGTGTCATAAAACTTTCAGAAAATACAATCAAGCCCTAAAACTTATCATGAAAGTGCAATTGAATCCTAAAACTCTCAAAAATTGCAATCAAGTCCTAAAACTTG